TCTATCATAAGTTTTAAGATATTAAAACATATTTTAATTAACAAGATTTTATTTATTTTTCAAATTATAATTTCTTAGATAGTCTTTTAGATAAGAAAATATTTTAAATAAAATAGAATTAATAAAACTGATTATTGAAACCATTTTTTTTCTATCTTAATATTTTTTTAAAAAAAAACACATTTCTTTTTTTTTTTGAAAAAGAAGAGATATGATATTTCAATAGGTAATTTGTTAGATATTGAAGAATTTTATTAAATAAATTTACAAGTTTAATACTAGAAGGTATAAAAAAGTTTTTATATTTTTTTTAATTTTATTTGAAATTAGTAATACTTAATAGATTAATTAAAAAATACTATTGTTTTTTACTAATAACAAATCTTATGATAGAATATAATTTTTAGCATATATTCAAATAGTTTTTTTTTGAAGTTAGTTGAATTCTAGATGTATTGAGTATTAACAAAAAAAAATTATTATTTTTTATTGTCAAATAATTCTTTTTTTTATTGTTGAATATTTATATATATTGTTAAATAATTTTTATTTTTAAATAATATTTTTTTGTCAAATATTATATTTTTATTGCCAAATTGTTATATACTATATTTTTTAAATGCCAAATGGCATAAATTGAATTAAACAATAAAATTTTAATAAATTTGAATTTAATTAATTATAAATTGGCAACTGAATAATCTAATTTGAACTATTGTAAATGAAACTTATATAAAAGATAAAATCCTATTATTAATTTTAAATCACCTAACCTATTAAATTCTGTCTTCAATTGTATCTATTGTAAATGAAACATATGAAATATTATTATAGAGATTAATCCCCATTATTTCAGTTACTTGTTATTACTGATCCTCAAGATATATTACTAGCATAACATAGTACTATCGTTCGTACTAGCAGAAAAGACAATATTTTTCTAAAATATAAGGTTTATAGAATATACTTATTTAAATAAAGACTACAGTTCAAGAAGTGTTTCACGAAAAAAAAATTATAAAGTATCTACTTTAATTTTCTAATTTTCGATATAGTCAAGTCTGTTCTTGTAAAACATATACTGTATATTATTTGCATATATTGTAAATCTTAGTTGTTTTTTTCATTGCGCAGTATATCAGATGTAACATACGATTTTGTGGTAACACAATAAATCTTATCGGATCAGATATCTACCTATAAAAACTATCTAGTTTAAAGTTCGAGCTTCTCTTCAATTGCTGCGTCCCTAAAAAATTAGTGATGGATGACTCAGCAAAAGTTATCGATTTTAGCTCGGCTGAAATTTCATGGTCAGAGTTCATAAATTCGCGAGTTTTACATAGTATTACAAGTTCGAACACGTCTCCTCGCCTTGAATTCTTGAATCATTCTTTATTACCTCGAATAAAGGCTGGAGGTTCCTATATTACTTTTTTTTACTTGTTTGCATGAGTTCTATGAATCTTACTGGCTTGCTCAAATTGTAGATCTCTCGGATAGATTACTCGAACGTCTTCTTTACTTCTTACTCTTAACATGTGCAAGATATAATGATAGAGCTTCACGTCTTTCCATATTGAATGTATTTAAAGAACTCAATAGTTGGAATTCTGAGTTATTTTTAAATAAATTCGTTCCCATGGTCACTGCAGAAGTTGATAAATTTGATCGAAAAAGTCCTGACGGGTACGGATTTAAAAAATTTGATTTATCTTTTATCAATTGTTTATAATCAACATACCGTACTCGAATTTTTAGCATAACATATGTGACATCTTCTACAATTCGATTCGTTCTTCTTACTTGGGTAAATGCATTGATCACCTTTGCGCTTTCGTCTAATTTCGCCGAGGAATCATCACTTTACTGGAAGAAACTGATTGATTCGCAAGCAACACTTTTAAATTCACTAGTTCATGAAACTGAAAAAAAGAAAAGTGTAACTAAAAGTGCCATAACTGATGTAAGGCGTTGTATTCGTAAGGTATCAAAAAAATTTTATTTTAGTTGTCAGGTATCTTTGTATCATATTTGTTTTAGTCGTTAATTGATTCTTCTTTTTGTAGAACTCTGCGCACATTCAATCATATATAACGTATTTGATCACGGGTTCAAAATCTTGCATTCCTACATATCGAAACGCTATTCTTCTTGGTGTTGTCATAGATTGTTCTTTGCGACTCAAGGGCGGAAGTACCAGGACATATGTTGAAAATGCAAAGGTGTGTTCAATATGTTCAAATAATATTATGATTTCAGTCATAATCTCGTGATCTTAATTAAAAATTTAATTCTTGTAATAGGATGAAATCATTCAGTTTTATATTACAGCAATTGCTTCTTCCAAATCGGCCGTGACTAAAACATCTGCGGTAATTAGGCATTAGAATTTTTTCTCACTGCCGGTCGGTTCAAATTCTGAATAAGTTTCGGCTTCTTGCAATAGGGTGCCTTACACGATTTTATGAAGCAAATTGTGACGGAGGAAGATTTTCGGACAAAGCTTATGCCAACTTTAGAAAAACTTTTACTAAGAGCACCTGAAATTACGCTCAATGGTAATGATTATTTGTTTATCTATTTAAAAGTTTCTTATCCCGAGTAATGAAATTAATTGTTAAATTATTATCACTCCTTAATTAGTTCTAATTTGTCTTGTCAAGTCTCTTTCTTTTGATTTATCTATTATTTTGAAGAAGAACTTTTTACAATCTTTACTTGGGCATATTCGGTCAACCAACAAAGTAATACAGTTGGATGCGGCTGAGCTATTGAATATAATGATTGAAAAAAGTCGTGATGATACCGTCGTCGTAGATATTGTGAAAGAAATTCTTCAAATGATGAGCGGAGGTTTGTAGGATTTTATTAAAAAAAAATTAAAATTAAAAATTAAATATAGCCACGCCCTTACTTTATGAATTTGTTACTTTTTGCAGGAAAGGTTTCAAACCCAGAGCATCGCGCTATCATTTTTCACGCGTTGGGTTATATTCATCAATCTCCTGGAGTGGTTAAAATTGTTATTGATGGATTATTACCTATTGTATCCAAAGAAAGTAATGAAACTTCATTGTCAAAAGCAATTAGCACGCTAAAGTTACACACAGGAGTTTTACTAAGGGCAGAAAAAGATAAAGAGGTTGTTGAAAAGGTTACAGATTTTATTGTAAATGGACTATCTAGCGCTAAAACTGGAGTGAGAAAAGCGTGGGCTATCTTGATTGGACGTCTTGTTTGGGAAGAAGCGGGCAGTCCATCTGCATCACTTTGTAATGTTACTCAACAGTCTTTGACACCACTATTATCAACGTTAGAAAAGATTCAAGCAAATCCTCTGAACTTTTTGGGTGGCCCTATTGAAGGATATATTGCTACAGCTATAATTGAAGGGAGAGCAATAAATTGGAAGAACGAAGAAATTAGTATGTTTTATTGCGATATGCACTTAATCATTACATATACATTAGTCATTTTATAAATATATATTTTAGATACGTTGATCCGTTCAAAGAAGCATACACAAAATATCTTGGTGAATTCTCCCAAACCCTCTTTTTTGTTGTGGGATAAAATATACTTAAAGTTAAATACAATTGAAGAAGGAAGTTGGTTTCTTCGATCCCTTGAAGGTGTTGTCATTAACGAAAATGTGACAGCTTTGAAAAAGATGGATGCCAGGTAGTCTTTTATATCTCGTTTTGAATTGGAAATTTCATAGTTTGTATGAATAATAATAATCTTACTTTCAGGGTATTTATCGCCACTGCCTTTATATATATGATTACCTCGTTTACGTTACATCAGACTCGTCGTGAGGCATATGATACGCTTAAGAATTGCGTTCAATTCAGCCCAGATATTGTAGGTGAATTTATGCGTGAAGGATTGACCAATTGGTTATTGAACGTATGTATTATATTATTGTATAAAAAAATTAAATAATCAGATTGTGATACTTAAGTATATTATCTATTTGTACATAGCTTGAGAAATGTACAAAAGATTCTACAGCTGTACTGGCTTCGACAAGCGCGCATTTAGACCCATCTGTCAATGCATATCTTCTTTCCAAAGTGCTTACTGCTATTACTACATTTTCTAAAAATGTGGAGAAATCAGTGGTTGAAGATTCACTGGTTGAGCTCATCGTTTTCGCTCACCATCCTGCTATTGGTGAACTTTCAATATTTTTAATTAATTTATTCATATTTTTTTTGATAAATGGATACAATGGGCAAGATCATGCAGCTTATGTTGAAATTTTTTGTTTATAAGTATCGCCCACCAAAAAATACAATTGGATCTCATTAGTGCAAAGAGCTCACCTTGATCCCGGAAAATTAGTCGAAAAGTATTCCACCCGACTTCTAGAAGTAATACGACAAGGTGAAACGAAAGTATGTATTATTTTCATTGATTATATTAAACCATTTCATTATTAATGATATTGAAATTCTATACTGGTAAAGTCAAGGAACTTCTACAAAGCAGCAATGTCGGCAATTGCTACAGTTGGTTTTATTTCACCGGATACGTTTGTCCCGATTTTTCTTATGCAATGTCGTGAATGTTTAAATGCTTCACTATTTGAAAAGATTGGCGCTCAAGATATTGGAATATGGAGAACTGAAGAAGGAACACTATTTGTTAATGGTATATTTATTTATTTATTAATCTATGTGCTTTAGTTCTTATGGACATCACATTATATGCTTAAAATAAATTTATTTATTTTTATTCTAATACTACCAGTTTTAAAGAGAAACCAGAGGAATGCGGTAGAAGACCAAAATCGGAAAGGCTATCAAACCGAGAAATGGGAACGAGAAGTTCGTGAGCAAATTGCAAAAAAGAAGGGTAATACATCAGCTCCAAAACTTACAAAAGATGAAAAAACTCAAGTGGATTCACAGTTAGCAAAGGAATCTCAGATACGTAAATATGTTGAAGAAACTCGGTTGAAATTATTAAAAGGTTTAGATATCATAGACTCCATGGTGGATGGTAACGCCGAAGCCGTTGGACCTCATATTGTAGAATTTATGAGACTATTACATACAGTAGTACAAAAAGGTGGTTCTCTTATTGGAGAAAAGGGAGTTGATACTTATTTGAAAATTAGTCTTTGTACTTCTGAGAAGATTGGTAATATTCGTATGCCTATTGGATTGGCTACTCTACGTGCCATGAATGTTCAAGAAGTTCCTGAAAGGTGGCTTCAAGAGAAATTAGGCCATCTTGTTTCACGTGTACTTTATCATCTTCGATTCATCACTGAACGTGCAATGTTACCAACTTCGTCGTTTGCGTACTGTTTCCCGCTTATTTATCAGGTTATTCAGAAAGGTGGAGTGGGATTAGATAATGAAGAAGCTGGCGATTCAGAAATTTTAATGGAACAAATTACACTTTGCCTAGATATTATTTCTTTCCATTCAGCACTTGGGTCATCTCCTTTAATTCCCAGAACGGACATTATTCAAATATTACAACTTATAATAAAGAGTTATCCAAAATTAGCAAAAACGGCAAAAACTACTTTAACGAGTTTTGGGGAAGCAATCGGAGATACTGCGAACCAGGAGGAAATAGACACTTTGTTTGCAGGATTGCTTTTTGCAGAAACCTACGTTCGTCATGCATGCTTACAGGCATTAGAGTATATAGACCTCTTGCATATTGACTTCTCCCGTGAATTATGGATTTCGTGTCATGACGACGATGAAAATAATGCAACATTGGCTCTTTCCTTATGGGAAGATAATGAAATGGATATTGACCCAAATTATGCCTCTGAAATTTTACCTCTTTTAGTTGATGGTGAACAATATATTAGGTCATGCGCGGCTAAAGCTATTGGAAGTGCGGCACGATCGCTTCCGGATTCGATAGAAAGTACGCTTAAAATGATATTTGATCTTTACAAGGAGAAGGTACCTTAACAAATGTGATTGATATTTATAAATTAATTTAAATTTTTAGAATTAAATATGTTTGAACTGAAATTATAAAATTATAAATAGGCTAAGCCAATTCAGCCAGAATACGATGAGTTTGGTATTATAAAACCAGAATCGTTGAAAAAACAAGATCCATGGGAAGCGCGTGTAGGATCAGCCCTTGCTTTAGGTGCTCTTGCTCCACATATGAGCTCGTCGGACTTGAAGTCCTTCTTTGAATTCTTGATATTTGAAGAAGCTGTCGGTGACATCCACGCTCAAGTCCGACAAAAAATGCTGGAGGTAATATTTGTCTCATTGTTATAAATATTGGGTAATATGTTCTACATTTATATTCAGCACAAAAATATTTGTCTTGGTCGATTAGGCTGGCTTGTCCGCTATTGATATTCACGGTGGCAGGGATGTTAATTTATTGATGCCAGTGTTTGAAGGTTATTTGGATCAACCCGCCGAACCTACCGAAACCCATGACCGGATTCGTGAATCTGTTGTTATTTGGTTTGGAGCCTTGTCCAAGCACTTAAATCCCACGGACTCGAGAATTCCTGTGGTAATCGAGAAACTCCTTGAGACACTAAAAACACCGTCTGAGTCAGTTCAACTGGCAGTCGGAGAATGTTTACCACCCCTGATTAAATTAACAAAAGATAATTCTCCAAAGTTAATTGATCGTTTACTGGATCAACTTCGCAATTCAGAAAAGTATGCAGAACGAAAGGGTGCTGCGTATGGTCTTGCAGGTGTAGTCAAGGGTACTGGCATTTCAGCTTTAAAGGATTGTAATGTGATGAGCATTTTGAAAGAGAGTGTTGAAAATAAAAAAGATTATAAATACCGCCAAGGAGCTCTATTTGCTTTCGAAACACTATCGCAAAGTTTGGGTCGTCTTTTTGAACCCTATGTTATTCAAATTCTACCGTTATTATTAACATGCTTTGGCGACTCTCATCCAGATATCCGAGAAGCGACCTCGGATGCAGCCCGAGTAATAATGAGCAAAATTAGTGGACACTGTGTTAAACTTATTCTCCCATCTCTTTTGAAAGGATTGGAGGATCGTCAATGGCGAACGAAAAAAGGGTCAGTTGAACTGTTAGGAGCAATGGCGTTTTGTGCACCCAAGCAACTGTCAATTTCTCTTCCTGCGATAGTACCAAGATTGACGAGTGTGTTAACTGATTCACACACAAATGTTCAAGCAGCTGCGAATCAAGCCTTATTGCACTTTGGGGAGGTTATAAATAACCCTGAAATTCAAGCACTTGTTCCAACTTTACTTAATGCACTAAGTGATCCGGATAAGAATACCAATACTGCATTAGATTCATTACTGGAAACAGCATTTGTTCATTATATCGATGCTCCATCATTGGCATTGGTATGCCACATTATCTTAATACAGATTAATTAAATTCGACAATTTTTATTTATTTGTTATTTCTTATTACTAAACTTTCTTTCTTTTTCTTTTTTGAAAAATAATTTTTACTAAGGTAATACCAATCCTAGAACGTGGTTTACGAGAAAGAGGCACTGAAGTTAAGAAAAAGTCATCGCAAATAGTTGGAAATATGGCATCTTTGACAGACGTAAAAGATCTTGCTCCTTATTTACCACGGCTTTTGCCTTGCCTCAAAGAAGTTTTAGTTGATCCTGTGCCTGAGGCCCGGGCAACAGCTGCAAAATCATTAGGAACCATGGTAGAAAAACTCGGTGAAGATAAATTCCCCAATCTCGTCAATGAACTTATTCATACCCTCAAATCAGACACTAGCGGTGTTGACCGACAGGGTGCGGCTCAAGGTCTTAGTGAAGTATTAGCAGGACTGGGAATGGAACGGCTTGATGGCCTTCTGCCCGATATCATAACAAACTCCACAAGTTCTAAATCATATGTTCGAGAAGGGTTTATCTCATTGCTTATATATCTTCCTGCAACATTTGGTATTCGATTTCAACCTTATCTCGGTCGCACAATTCCACCGATCTTATCTGGGCTTGCCGATGAATCTGAATATGTGCGTGATGCATCACTTAGAGCAGGTAGAATGATTGTTGTGAATTATGCGACCAAAGCCGTTGATCTTTTACTGCCTGAATTAGAGAGAGGATTGTTTGATGATAATTGGAGAATACGGCATAGTTCTGTTCAACTCATGGGCGATCTGTTATATCGAATCGTTGGAATAAGCGGGAAAACCACTATTGAAGCTGAAGATGAAGAAGAAACTGGTGGAACGGAAGCTGGCAAGAAAGCTCTATTGGAAGTTCTTGGAAAAGAGAGGAGGGACCGGGTTCTGGCAGCTATTTATATTGTTCGACAAGATGGTACGTTCTTTTAAAAAGTATATCTTGAGACTCACCTAATTAATTGCTGTATGTGAATGACAACATTTTATTAATTTGCTCTTAAGGTTCTGGCATTGTTCGTCAAGCGTCAATACACGTGTGGAAGGCTATAGTTTCCAATACACCTCGTACAGTCAAAGATATACTTCATGTTATGATGGGAATGATCATACGAAACTTATCAAGTCCAAGTTATGAACGACGACAGGTAGCCGCTCGTACTCTTGGTGAACTTGTTCGTAAACTCGGTGAAAGTGTTCTCTCCGAGATTATTCCAATATTAGAAGAGGGTTTAGAATCGGTCGAGGCCGATATGCGCCAAGGAGTTTGCATCGGATTAAGAGAAATAATGGGCACTGCTGGAAAAATACAGGTTATTGACTACGTTGATTCCATTATACCTGCTATTAGAAAAGCATTGGTTGATGAATCCGGAGAAGTGCGTGAGGCAGCAGCTCAAGGTAACAAACACCCAAATATTTATCTATTTGAATTCGCTCATTATTAATAACCATATTTTTATCGTTTTTTTTTTACTGCTTGCCACAATACACCTTTAATTAGCTTTTGACACACTTCAGCAGAATGTTGGTGATAAAGCTATTGATGAAATTTTACCTACGCTTCTCAACTCTCTACAATCGGGAGATGATTCGGCATACGCTTTAGAAGCATTGAAGGAAATTATGGCAGTACGTGCTAATGTTGTATTTCCGGTTCTCATACCTAATTTAATTGCCGTACCGATATCCTCATTCAATGCTCGAGCTCTTGCTTCTTTGGTAACGGTTGCGGGTGCTGCTCTCAACAAACGATTAACAAGCATTCTTACTGCCCTTATGACATCGCTGGGTATGGAATCGGATGAGAACACTATTGCAGAGCTTAAAGAAACCGAACGAGCACTGTTGCTTTCCATTGATAATGCTGAGGGACTTCAAACTTTAATGATGATGTTATTTGAAGCAGCTAAAAGTGATGATTCCACCAAACGGGCTGGAGCATGTGATATTGTCACAATTTTTTGTAACGAGACTAAAATGGACTTTTCGCGATATACATCCGAATGGGTGCGCGTGTTAATTTTACTTTTGGACGACCGTCAAAAAGATGTTGTAATTTCAGCATGGAATGCTTTAAATGCTGTGACCAAATCAATTAAAAAAGACGAATTGGAACAATTTGTGATTCCGGTTCGCCGCACTGTGAAACTTATTGGAGTTCCCGGTGTTGATTTACCTGGCTTTTGCTTGCCGAAAGGAATTGGTCCTATACTTCCAATATTTTTGCAAGGATTGATGTATGGTACCCCAGATATTCGCGAAAATTCTGCCCTAGGAATAGGAGATCTTATCCAAAGGACTTCAGCTGACGCACTTAAGCCATTTGTAACACAAATTACTGGTCCACTTATTCGTATTATAGGAGAACGTTATCCATCGCAAGTGAAAGCAGCTATCTTGCAAACTTTAGGGTAAAATTATGCTTTTAACCTCTCATAGTAAATCCTTGATAGAATCATATACAATTTCCCTCTTACTTATCTATTGAGTTAATTTAGTCTCCTCCTCACCAAGGTTCCTACTCTCCTGAAACCTTTCCTACCTCAACTTCAACGAACATTCATAAAATCATTAACCGATCCATCAAGTACTCTTGTCAGATCGCGTGCCGCTTCCGCTCTTGGCATTCTGATTTCATTGCAAACACGTGTCGACCCTCTTATTGCCGAGTTGGTGACGGGAATTAAAACAAGTGAACCAAGTATACGAGAAGCAATGCTAAATGCACTGGAAAGCGTTGTAAACAAGGCGGGGAACAATATGAACGAAGCCTCAAAGAAAGGGGTTCTGGGGGTAATAAAGGATGGACTAAGTGACAATAAAGGTAAATGGGTATATCCTGTTTTTGTTAATTGTACACTTATAAACGTCATTGACCATATCGTACAGAGGGAACAGTGGTTGGTGCCTCGCGCTTACTTGGTAGTCTGAGCAGACACATACCACCTCAAGATATCGAGCATATTATAACGTACGTTTTTTATTGATGTCACCTAAAATCACCAACCACTTCATATAATTTCTTACGTTATCAATCATTTCATATAATTCATCTATTATGTTCAGACATCACGTAATAACCGGTGGACCATCAACACAAAGTTCTCTCTTGATCATAAATGCTATCCTCGCTGAGAATCCAAAAGTTTTTATTGACCTGGAAATAACTGATGATATAATAACAATTATAGTCGTTGGCTCTTCCAATAACCAGGCAAATGATCGATTGAATTTTTTGATAATCAACTTTGATCGTCCTATTAACGTCTTCAAATTTATGTCTACTAGCCATCCATTGCCGACACGTCAATAATTGCGGCAGGAAAAATGTTACTCACTGAAATGTATCATAACGAACAAGTAGTAAGTCGTCTTGTGGAAGCACTGGTAATTGCTATTCGTGAACCAGCTACATTGGCCGGTGAAACAAAACGTTTGGCACTTACAGTGTTTCGAACTGTTGGAAGAAAATATCCACAAGTAATTATTAAACGAATTTCTGCATATAATTTTATAATAGAAGAACTTTTAATGAGAAAACCTATTCTAATTCCTAGATCCTGGGACCTCATCATTCCGCAATCATTCCTTCAATGATATTATGCACCAATGATCGAAATAATCCCGTGAAATTGGCTGCAGAACAAGCTTTATTGTATGTACTTCAACTCTTGGACGGAGAATCTATAATGCAGGTATGTGAAGTATGATTGATTTTGGGGTTTTCTATATTTGATTGTGTATTTATTAATATTATTCTTATGGTTCAAAAAAATTCAGAAATATATATCAACAGTTGATACTCAGGCGGCTAAATCGGTTACTGACATTCATAGACGCGTGTTGTCAAAGCTTGTTTCTCAAGAACAACAACGATTGCAACAAAAAAACAATGGTGATGAAACGGATGAGGAAATGGAGGAAGAACAGGAAATTTGGGCCGTAGGTAGTTCGGGAACTTTCAAATCTGATGCTGAACAGGAATAAGAAAAGATTATTCAAAAAATTTTGATTGATAAAAAAGTATAGACGTAAAAAATGTAGTTTAATTTTATTTAAAATCCAAAATGTTCTATTAAAGTTGATAAAAAAAATTTTTGTTGCAGCAAAAAATACTTATAATACATTAACCTTAAACTATCTAATAAAAAAAAATTCAAGGTATCTTACAATAAAGTTCCCAATCTTGAAAAATTATCTAATTAGTCTAGTCTATAATTATTTTCTGATAAAATAGTAAAATACATCCTTCAACAATTATTTTTTCAATCCTTTCCTCTCAATTTTATCGCCTCATTAAGAAGGTCTTCTAAACTTTTATCTTTCGGCGAAAGTTCTAAGCCACTTTCAAATGCCATTATTGCCTCTTCGTATCTTCCCATCGCCATTAAGGCCTTGCCTTTTCTAAAATACCCTTTTACATATTCAGGTCTAATACTAATTCCCCACTCTGCGTCAACGTAAGCATTTACCCAAGAATTAATTCCCATATAAGCGGCAGATCTATTGGATAAACAGAGTGAAACATCTCGCGCTGTTATCTCATGCGGCTCCCACACTGGTCTCTTAAATGCTAATTCGATTGCCATCGTATATAATTTAATTGCTTCGTGATAGTTTTGTGCTTTAAAATGTTTGTTTCCTTCTTCTCTTATTCTCAAAACTTCTCTTATTAAACCTTCATCTACAGCGTTCGGCGGAGGAATGTTTCCATTTATTTCTAAAAGGCTTTTGTGAAGAGAATTTAACGAACTAAAATCCAAATCGCACTCGGGACAAGTCTCACGACGATGAGGACGACAAAATACCATATTATCTCCGACCATTAAATTTATTTCCTTGAATTTAGTGCTCATTTTAAAGTATAAACTGACAACAGAGTACGCACTGATGAGCAATAAAATTAATATAAATAATTCTTTCAAAACTGGAATTATGCTGATTATTCTAAATATAACCGTTTTTTTATTTAGATATACTGTATAAATAGTTTTCCCAATTACTTAATGAATTTAATATATATAAAGTATTTAAATATTAGGCTTTATAAATTTTTACCTAGCATTTTACATATTAAAAACCCCATTTTTTATAATAAATTCTACTTATAATAAAATTTTTATTAAATTTGAATATTAAAATCTTAATAATAATATATTTTTTAAAGTTTGTATTATCATAGACAACAAAATTTATTTAACAAAATATTAAATAAAACAATATTTTAATAATAAAGAATTAATTATTAATAGTAATTATATTTGAAAAAAAATTTATATTATTAAAACTTATTTTATATACTAAGTAAAGTTATTTTTCAAATCAAATATATATACTATAAAGTTTTTATTAAATTAAATAAATATTTAATATTAAAAAAAAAACTTTTTCCACTGATCCTTTTGCCAATCCAAAAAACAGATGTTCTCAAAAAACTTTTTGTTTTTATGATAATAAAGTCTATACACTTTCCTTAACAATACTGGTTCCTTAACCAGCAAAGCGAGCAGAAGCTACCACTTGTTTTATTTTTTCTTTTTAAAACACTTTTCTTGTTTATTTTGGCGACTAAATAC